GTGGACACAGTATGATTTTTCCTTGATGTATTGTTTTGTTCCCCCTCCCATCTTTAATCTTTCCCCCTTAAATATTGTTTCTTTTAAGTAATTAAAAATTAACTGTTTTAGTTTTCTCCTGAGCTGACAGAAAACCATTTTATATAGATGGAGGGTAGCAGTTTTGTTACACCGTAGAAGGACTGGAAACGCAGTATTCCTATAGAAATTTTTTTACTTCTCATATGGTGCATAGAAATATTTCATTTTCCTCTGATAAACTTGCAAGCACAATCTGTACAATTTCCTACAAGTACTTACTCCTTACTGTAAATTCTATATCAGCTCTATATCTTTACCTCTGACTACTATGGACACAAGAGAGCCAAACAAGTTACAATTGTGATCAAAACTGGAGCTCACTGGATTTGGGCAGCCAACATGTTTAAACCATAAACCATAAATAATGATAAATATCTTTTATAGGATCATGAGCCATGGTGATGCAGTGGTTAGAGTGCAGTACTGCAGCTACTTCTGCTGCCTGCCGCCTGTCTGCAATTTGGCAGTTCAAATCTCACCACGTTCAAGGTTGACTCAGCCTTCCATCCTTCTGAGGTGGGTAAAATGAGGACCCAAATTGTTGGGCCAATATGCTGACTCTGTAATTGTTCTGTCCCCATCTCACACACGCACACAAACAGACAGCCGGGGGTTAAATAAACTGGCAGACAACCAATTCTTCCAATAAGAAGCTTGGCAGCAACCCAGTAGCTGCTTGCCAAGAACTTTACTCATAAACCAAAATACACACAGTCAAGAATTGTCCAGTTCATAAAATAAATCCAAGGCCGATAATGTTGTTTCCAAAGATGCAATGTGACTCGATAGTAGTTAGTTTTGTCCGTCACAGAGTCTGAATGGCCACCTCACCCCCTTTTATACCCTGTGGGTGTGGTCCAGTGACTCAGCTTAATCTCTGGCACGCCTTTTCTTCTGTTGCGCACGCTTATCTCTGCGACGCTGCTGAGGATCCAGCCAAGACTCATTTCCCTCATCACTGTCCACCTGTGGCTGCGTGGACGTGCTTGGCCCTGGCCCTATCTCTTGACCTTCAGCGGACACCGAAGGCATTGCCAGAGAGGAGGGTCCTGGAGAGGGAGGCCTTGCCAACTCCTCTCCTTCACTCTCGGAGACCTCTCCTGCCGATGACACAGGCTCAGGTAATGGAGCCACAACAGTAATCTGCTTAGAGAGGGCTGTAAAGCACTGTAAATTGGTATATAAGTTTAAGTGCTATTGCTGTTATGTAGGAAAAAAATATTCCAGATCAGATTCTTGAATTGAAATTTCAAATTATTATGTCAAGATAAAACTGTAGACTTATCTTTAGTATTCTAGGCTAGGATAACATTATTTAAAGAAAATAGAGAATACAGTAGGCAAGATCTGAAGTGAAAGAATAATGTCTTATTGGATCCAGATCCATTCCTAATCATGAGGTCACCAAATGGCAAAACATGCATTGTGATATTATGACATAGGCTTTCTCCTTTTTTAGTGATATTACAATCTTGCACATAAATATGCAAAAGGTGGACTGTGCATCACAATTTTGTAATGCATGTTTCATTACTTGTCCTGCCTTGACCGCCACCAAAGATACCTATGCAAGTTCTCCAGACCTTCTAAACCAAAACATAACACTTCTTGAAAATTTTCCCGAGAACTTAGAACAAGTGGCTTGTTCTATCTTTTTCTAAGAATGGAAACTAGTTTAGTACAATAATATTTGTGTTAATAAAACTGCACATAGTGAGCTTTTATGTTGTGTTTTATCTTGAAGAGAACTATTTTAATTATTAAATTGGGGTTATTTTGCTTCACCTATTTCATTTTTAAAAGACTCAGATATCAGAGCTTCAAAGTATTTTCTCCAGGCAGAAGAGAAGCAAAATGGCTGACTCAGACCACATATTTATAACACAATATTATATTAGCTTGCAGAAGTAGGCACACTGATTTCCATAGGACTTTCTCGTAGGTGAATAGAGTTTTAGTCTCAGACTGTGCTCTATACAGATCTGAGTGTAAGTCACATTAGAATCAATTGGCCTTCCTTCTGAGCAAACATATATAGGATTGTGTATTATAGCTACTTCTTAGCCTGCTGAACATGATGGCCTTTGTGCAGCTAGCTATCAGATTGTTGTCTAATTCCTGTCTCTCATAAGTTTTTAAAAATTATATTTCTAATTACTGCCATTGTAAAATTTTGATACTGGTAATGCTAATAATGCTGTAATGTATATGCCTGTTTTGGCAGCAGTTACGAAGTAAGTATTTCATGGAAGGATCTCCTTGTCATACTGTTAATCCTAATATAAAAAGGTAGATCTGCCATACAATTTTCTTTGTAAGTATTGATGTTGCATTTTTCAAAGATTTTATTATTATTTTTTACATTACTTGTCTTCAGGGGTGAAATGTAAAATTTGTTACTAACAGTTCTGTGGGCGTGGCTTGGTGGGGGTGTAATGTGACTGGGTGGGCGTGACCAACTTTTTTTTTTTTAACTTTTCAAAGCATTTTTTCTACAACCTCTTCGGCCAAAGAGGTTGCAAAAAAATGCTTTGAAAAGCCTCTGTCGATCAGGCAACACAGCTGGGATTGTCAGAGGCTTTTCAAAGCATTTTTTCAGCGGAAGAGGTTGTAGAAAAAATGCTTTTAAAAGTAAAAAAAAAAAGTCTGATGATTGTGTGGCTCAGCTGGGCATGGTGGGGGGGGGCACGCAGGGATTTTTGCTACTGGTTCTCCGAACCACCCACCGCCATCGCTACTGGATCCGGCGATCAGGTCCAAACCGGGAGCATTTCACCCCACTTTTTCTTCCTATATTCCCTTGGGGTCTTCTGTCAAAACACCTACAATGAATGAAATAAACTATACAAATCGGATGGAGTTTACACTAAGAAAAAACAAAAATATAATTATAATTTCATTAACTTTGCCCAGCTAGTATTTTAAAACTATATTACTGTTTAGAGAAAAAAAGCTCCCTATACTTTTGAAGCTATCATTTTATCAGAGAAGTAAACTTTGCCATGTGTAACAAACCTCACACATTAGAATACCATTGAGAGTATTAGATTAAAAATTGAAATCAAAGTAATTATACTTGTAAAAGTCAATCAATCAATAGTTTAATATTTGAATAACAAAAAATATACTTTATTGCAAAAAAGTAAATCTAATGGGAAATATTTGCACTTACATATTTTCTCAGATATGGCAAAAAAAAAAAAAATCAGAATAGTGTGAACTTATGATGCACTGAATTGCTCTGTATTCTTTTTTAGTTCAAATCAAAAATTCGTATGAAAATTTTAGCTTCTCATAATGTTCAGAACTGAAGGTGTGTAATAGAATGACAAAAGTTACAATTCCAAGTGAGCAGAACAACACTTAGGGTACTTTTGGCTCAGTCATGAATTCAATTTAGCGCTTTATAATTTGCCTTTCTTCCCTTTGAACAGGGAAGAAAATATTTATTTATTTATTTATTTATTTATTTGATTTACAAGGCTATCTAATTCCAAAATAATTTTGGGGAGTTGTCAAAATTCAAATGAAAAGAGAAAAACAAGCAAAAAACAGAAAAACATATACCTAAATTTTCACACAAAACCTACTCAGGCTGACATATATTCTATCCCAGCCATGGGAGTAAATGCAAAAGTCTTTGCTTCTAATTTTCTAGGTTTGTAGAATTTAGCCAACCTGAGAAAGTCTTAAACTGTGATAAAATGGTATAACTTGCCTTCAGAGTCACATAGATAACTTCTTTACGTTTCCAGTGGCCATTTTTAAAAAAGTTGGTGCTGGTGGTTTTGTTTCGCTTCAATAAATTGTTTTATTGGAAAAGTCTTGTTAGGATGGCAAAATGATGCTTTCTTAACTAACACTACTACCAATCTTTCAAGGATTGTCATAAACTTACATAGGATAAAAGTTTAAATAGCTAAATAGTTGTTCTGGAAGGAGAGGAGTTTGCATTGCTTCCTGGGCCAAGAGAGATATAGCAGGTAGATAGGAGATCAGGAAAGTCTAAATTTCTATTGTCTGAATCACTTAAGAGGGACATACCATATTTTTTGGAGTATAAGACGCTCAGGACTATAAGATGCACCTACCTTTTTTGGTGAGGAAAACAAGAAAAAGATATCTGCGTCTGTCTCTGCCTCCCAGCAATTTTGCCTCATTGCAGCAAACAGCAAACAGTCTGCTTTACTTTCATTTTTGTTTTCAGCATAGATTGATTAGCGCAAGGAAAAAAAATCTGCTCCCAGCAATTTACCTCCTTGCAGCAAGCAGCAGAGGCCCACGCAGCAATAGGCAATGACAATCCCTGCAGCCTGAAACAGCTGAGATTCAGGAGGCCGATCCAACAGACAATCAACTTGTGCTAATTAGGCTGTGCTGAAGCTGAAATGGGCTGTTTCTTCTTGCTGCTTGCTGCAAGGAGGTAAATTGCTGGGAGGCAGAGGCCATAGGGTGGGGGCCAGTGGGTGGGCGGGGCTACATTCAGTGTATAGGACACACCCAAATTTTAGAGGGAAAAAAGGTGAGTCTTATATTCTGAAAAATATGGTAGCTTTTACTTTGAGAACTTTTGAGTGTGAGCTTTTTGTGTATGTACATGTTTGTGTGTGTATGTGTGTGTGTGGGGTATGGCAATATGGCATATCTTCCTCTGGTAACTATCTCATTATACCTGTTTTACTTGTTCTTTTGAAATATTTTAGTATCTCAAATGCATCTGCAGTTGGTAAAACATTTATACATCACTTTTTAAACATATGTATATGTATTTCACTGAAGGGAGCATCTTAAGTTCACAGATTCACATGTATTAAAGAATAGTATGTTCTTTTCCCTATAGCATATTCCTTATTTTGTGTGATTTCTTTATTTTTTCATTCTGCTATGACTACATAGCCCTGTTTTTTTTTGACCCACAGTATTTGAAGTGTATATGGTATTACAAGAAACAATTCTGCGTGAGTTCAAGATTGTGGTTCTACAGAGAAATAGGTAATATTTGCAATAAATGAAGTAACTTGTGTCATACACAGCAGTCATTGACTTTCCTCTCAATAGTATAGATCTATTTCAAGCTGAATGAAAACTTGATTTTTATTATTCTGATATATAGTGAAGGATTCAATCCCATCCAGATATTTCAATTTTACAACATGAAATGTTCATTGTTAAAGCAAAATGATGTTACATCTAATGTACAAATGCCTTTTTCCTGAAGATCAGTATAGCTTGTAGTCTTAGTTTTTTACCTCACTGTTACTAGCACTAATTTTAGTACTTTATTAGCTCTAGGGCTTTCAAATTCAAAGGAAAAAATATTTTATCTGAAATTATATGATTTATATCATTTTCCTATAATGGAATTCTAGTCACCTAGCTATCATTGAGGAGATTTAAAGCCTATCCTCATCCTGCAGCTGGTTCAGGATTCTGTCTTTTGCTGTCTTTTGCTTGTTTTATTTGTTGCTTGTTCTGTCATTTTCTTACTTTAATGTCTTGTTTGTTCTAACAGAACAGCAAAGTTGGAAGGGACTTGGAGGTCTTGTAGTCTAAACTCAAGACTGAAAGAGGGTCAGGAAGAAATGGCACTAGTTTGCCTTTTGATAGAACATGTGCCTTGTATCTTGTGCCTGGCCATGGCCACCATGACACCCATTTTGTGGAAATGTCTATTACCTGCCAACAGAATTTCAAATATGTTCATTGATCAAGAAAGATTGGGGCTCTTGCTTTATAGATCTCCTATCCCTAAGGCTGGCCTCACTCACTAGCTAAGACATAATCTGATTTGTTTGGTCTTGGTTTACTATGGCAACTACATTTATTGTGGTTTATTGTGTGAATCCAACCAATAGTGGTAAATCCAGTGGGCATGTATTCTGCTCTCCTCAGACTTTATTTTATCCTTGGCCCAGATTGGAGGAGCTTAACTTTCTGGGGGAAAAAAATCCATACAGGGCCTGGTGCTGAAGTGTTTTTCCCTTCCACCATAATATTCATATGGCTTAATTATATCTCAGAGCTTGTGATCTGGATATGTCCCTCCAAGCTGTTTCTGAAGAATAAATAGGTTGTTCATAAACAGGACAACCCAATATTCTGTCAGACTTCCAAATAACCATGAACCAAGAGGAGGATGAAATGTTAGAAATCAAAGGTCAGGCACCATCTTGGGCCTCTTCTTCTGAATCACTTCGTATTGCTGTTTATCCCAAAAACTTGGAAACGGACCACTGACAGGTTTCCTGCCAGGAGGTTTATTACTGGACAAATTCCGACTGCAACAGGATTTTATTACAAAAAATCTCTTTAGTCTTTTGATGAGTTGCAAAACATCCTGATACCCCAAATATATTTTAAATACTCTTTGGGGAAAGCACAAATTAATATATCCAGAAATATTTCATGAAATATTATTTTGATGTGCATGAATCATCTAAATCTAAATCTAAAATCATCTCAATCATCTCAATCTAAATCCAAAACGCTCCTAATATTTACTTTGTAGTTTGCAATATGAGCATTTCAGCCACTACCCAGCAGGAATAAATAGAAGTGCTTCTTCAAATGGTAAAAATGAAAGAAGTGCAGCTTTAATCAGCATTATTTATCTCCTACGCATTCCCATCCTCTTACATAGATCAGCATGACGTCAAAATATTATGGGCAGAAGGCATGGCTCTCTCCCTATTATTCCCTGCTACATTGTTACTGTAACTACTTTTTTAGAATCAGAACATTATTCCACAACTCTTTTATTTATTTGTTAAACATAATTAAGAATGCAGCCTTTTTCAAGGCTTTAAAAGGATTTTTTTGGCCTCCATTTAAAACATAAAAAACCTATTTTACTGTATATCCTACTTTTATTAGCACTGAAAACTGAAGGTGGACTTCCCAGTCTTAACTCCATTATCTTTTTCAGTCAAATAGAACAAACCCTTCTACTCTTGCTGGGGGGAGGGGCTCAAAAAGTCAGCTTCAAACATGTTGTGGCTGCCATCTTGACTTTTTAATCCTTCTCCCCTGACAAGTATCCTTGTTACCCAGATATGCTGCTACAAAACTCCCAAAGACAGTATAATTATATATTCAATATACAATTGAGTATAATTACCTAATGATTGGACCTCAACTGACAGTTACTTTTGTAGATCTATAATGGATCTTTCTAACTTTTTAAAATCATATTCTTTCATCTTCTTCCTAGTTCTTTTCTATGCAATAATACTAAAATAATGATAAGGGTTTCAACCAGTTAAAATCCTCCAGCCACATCAAAGGTCATTGGGTCACATATTACTGCATTCTTGTTTAACCTCTCAAGGTTGCTATAAATATTACATAAATGTGAAAAGTCAGGGTACCCTAAAAACATTTGTATCATATCAATTGTTCATAATAGCTTTGTATCAAGGTTGAAAAGTTAGAAGTTTGGCATAACTATGTATCCCCCTGTCCTCTTTGTTCCAGCTGAACAATGGCCCTTCATTTTGATTTTCAGGCTGTGCTTTGCCAGTTTCCTGTTCCCACTGATCATTGGCTGGGAACCCATAAAAATGGCCAGCAGGAAATCACCTGCATCCTCCCTTTGGTTTATCAAAAACCACTGTGTAATATTAATTCAGGTAAGCCTGTTTGTTAATTATCTAAGCGGGATGAATGAATAAATAAATAACAAGGTGATCTGATTGTCATTCATGTTGGACTATTCACATATTTTATAAGATACTCTTGAAAAAATGCATTGTTTTTACTACGTAAAACTAACTGAACACAATAATGTTTAGATACTGTTTTCTCATGAAATAAAACTCAGTTTTTCTACATAGAGAACAAAATGTTGTAGTAAATCTCCAAATTCTGCTGAATGTGTAGATAAAAAGGAAAAGGAAAGAAAAGCATCATCCCACCCACTCCCATCTGCAAAAGTTGCCATGTGCCAGTCTAAGTACAATTAAATACCATTTTTCTTAACTTTGAACCCTGCTTTTTAATTTTTAAAAATATTTATTTGAAAGTAAGTAAAACTGAGTTCAGTGGGGCTTATTCCCAGGTGAAGTAAGCATAAGGTTCCAATTTTAATTTTTATTAACTTTATTAATTTATTAAAGTCAATTTTTAATTTTACTATATTAAATTTTGGTGTACAGTTTTTGAGACATCATGTGTGATCTTACTTGCTTAGAAATATTTAGAGAAACATTCAAACTTTTGCTTCATATATATAATTTTATGCAGTGTCAATATATTGTTATGTTCCTTTTCTAACATACTCCTATCTCTATTGGTTTAAGAAAGAGAAAAAGAATAGTTGCAGTGTAATTTTGATTGGCAGTATTAGGACCATCTTCCTAAAGTATTTTTTATCTTTTCTACATGTTCACATGTAAAATTTAAGAAATATATTGTATAATAAAAATGGGGTTTTTTAAAGCAATCAAACAGCTTCTGTACTGAGTGTAAAAAAGAATGACTGAAATGGACATACTAATTTACTTTCATGAAATATTTTCATATTTTCAGGCAGAAATATGCCAATTCTGTCTACTTACAATGGTTAAAACCCTATTTATCTCAAAAGATAATACTATACTAGAGTGTTTTGATAGCACAATAATGTTTAAAATTTCACTGAAATTCAGTTCTGAAAATAATACAAAGTGAACAGTACCTGTCCACATGCTTTGTATGTGCTTTTTTAATAATAAAAATAAAATGAAAGCAAATAATGATTCAACAGTAACTGTAACATTTGAAATGTATGTTGTAATCTATAATAACTTTGATTAAATATATTAGCATAAATGTGAAATTATTTGTTATGTTGTTGTATAAAGCATGCAATTTATATGCCTAAAACTTGTGGAAATTTCCAAGGTTTATCAAAATGATGACAGTCATTTTTGGCTCTTATCAGCATAATACATTTGAAGTATGGTAATATAGACTCATCACTAAACACCTAAATGAACAAAAAGATAATATTAATCTAATGAAGATGTCCCCCTCCCTTCCTTCCTTCCTTCCTTCCTTCCTTCCTTCCTTCCTTCCTTCCTTCCTTCCTTTCTTTTCCCATCTCAACAAGTAACTATGACTGGTTAAATTAAAATACTCTAAAAAACCAAGAATTTATAGAATACAAAATATAAAATAGATAGAAGATTGTGGAAATGGAAGTGTGCAATCAAACAAATGATAAGAACGTTTGGAATAGGATTGCAGGGCAGTAACAGGAGCTATTACTGGTGTGCTTTTTTACTTCATTGTTGTTTTTCTTTCAGTAGAAGTTCTATCAGCTGGGGAGAGTTGTTCTTGTCTTTGAAGCTAGCTCTTGTTTCTCTGAAGTCAGATTCCTTATTCCCAGGACTCCACTCTGCAGTGCCAGCACAAACATACATCAGCAGCTGCAGACCACTTTCAAAAGTTAGCAAGGAACTATCAAGCAATTACTTATTCCACTTTAGATCCAAGTCTGTGATTTTATGTTGCAGATCTAAGATTTAAGGAATGAAAAAAATCAAAGACAATAAGTAAAGTCAACAAATGCAGAAAGAAAATTCATACCTGCATTTAATTGGAAATATCATATTCTGTAGATGAGCAATGCTAGCAGGATAACCTCAATTAAAAGCTTGGATTAGATGTTTGGATCTAATCTACAGCTGGATTGGATCCAAATTTCATTATGCTTTCAAAATAGACTGCCAGGATTTCAGATTCAATATCCAGCTTAACTCTTAAGTATGACTGAATTGAGATTCATCTCATTCTATCTTATAGGAATGCATTCTAACTATCCCAAGTTAATTCACAAATATCCCAAGTGCCATGGGCACTTTCACATCTATTAGTTTTTTAGTCTTCATTTTAGCTACTTATGCTAAGTGTGAAAGTTGTTAATATTTTCACCCACACCACGGCTATACCAATGCAGAACTATGCATATCTGTTTGGGAAGAAATGCCTTGGAGTTTAATGGGTCTTATGCCCATTTATGTAATACTGGATTTCCCCCCTAAAATAAAACGGCATAGAATTGTAGCCTTAAAATCAAACACACATTCTGTTCAATTTAATTTTTATATTTGCATTACAGATAAGCTGAAGATCAGTCTATGATTCATGTGTGAAATCATCTTTAATGATAATGTGGGTTATCAATACAAGCTGAATATTCCACAGTGACATGTGAACTCAAGAAAAGAACACGAGCAGCCACTCATTCTTAATTATATGTACATGAAAGATGTTACAAGATTTTTTTTCATTAACTGTACATTCCTGGCTGCTTTACTAATTTATTTTAACAAGGGAAGTGAGACTTAAGGAATGCACATAAAAGTTCTGATAAATTGCAGGTGTTAATTATGGCTGCTGCAAGACGGAGATTATGGCAAAGTCTCCCTTTGAGCTTCACTTTAACTTCATGGGGAAATTCATGTAGTTTTCTTGGCAACAAGAGCATGACCTTCTTTTGACATAGTTTCTGACTTTCTACTTTTGTTTAAAGTCCTGGGATTCAATGGTATTCTCTTTCCAAATATTAAGCAGGCCCAGTTCTGCTTATCTTTTGATCCCAGACAAACTTGGCCAGATGCTGCACCTGCTGAGAGTCCAGGAACAAAGGTGAATTAAAAATGTAAGATGTAAAGTACATAAATAATAGACTTGGGAAACTTTCCAGAAAAGCTTCCTTAAAACTAACTTCTTTTGTCATTTTGTCTCTTTAGTAGCAACATGGAAGATACTAAAAATGGCACTGCCGGGGTTTGGTTCAGAAAAAGGCAAAGGTCTCAAGCATCACAGACAGGATGCCTCAATGCTGCCATTGCTTAAGACTGTCCACTGTCTACTGTGATCTAAGAATAATTGAAGTTGTGAACTGAAATGTGTAAGTATGGAAGGTCTGAAAAAGTTCCAGAGGTGGTTGCTTAAGAATCCAATTTTAAGTACTAATATTACAAGTGAAAGTAAGGCAGAAGCATTATGTTAATTTTATTTTCTAAGTGACAGTTTCCCAATCTAAAGATGGCCTATATGATGCTTCATTTTAAAGGTATCAGAGTACATAATAGGACTGGTAGGATTTCAGATTCAATATCCAAAATGTGATCTGGAGCTTTAAAGTCCTCTGGAAATTCCTAGTGCAGATTAGAAGAAAAAAAAAAAGAAAAGGTGAAAGGAAAAGCAAAGAGTTTTCTTCATTTAGTATTGATGTGTGCTTCATTTTTAAAAAAATGAAGCAAAAAAAAAGTGGGTGTAGAACTTCCAAAATAGACTCAATACATTGCATGTCTGGTATATTTAAAAAATTGTGATGACTGTGATTATAAGAACAAAGCCTAATCTCTTTTTTTTAATGTGTCAAATATTTATCACAGATAATAAGAGGCATGGCTTTGATTGTGTGGCCAAAGCAGGGGTGAAATGCTCCCGGTTCGGACCGGATCGCCCAATCTAGTAGCGATGGAAGCGGGTGGTTTGGAGAACGGGTAGCAAAAATCCCTGCCACCCCCCCATGCCCAGCTGACCTGCGTGATCATCAGAGGCTTTTTAAAATTATTTTTAAAAGCATTTTTTCTACAACCCTAGCAGAAAAAATGCTTTTAAAAGTGAAAAAACCTCTTCAGTCGAAGAGGTTGTAGAAAAAATGCTTTTAAAAGCCTCTGACGATCCCAGCTGAGCTGCGTGATCATCAGAGGCTTTTTTCTTTTAAAAACATTTTTTCTACAACCTCTTCGGCCGAAGAGGTTGTTAAAAAAATGCTTTTAAAAGCCTCTGACAATCCCAGCTGAGTTGCCTGATCGGCAGAGACTTTTAAAAGAAAAAAAGCCTCTGCCGATCAGGCAACTCAGCTGGGATCGTCAGAGCCTTTTAAAAGCATTTTTTTACAACCTCTTCGCTGAAAAGGTTGTAGAAAAAATGGTTTTAAAAGAAAAAAAAAGTTGGCCACGCCCACCCAGTAACATTACATTACCCCCCCCCCAAGCCATGCCACAGAACCGGTAGTAACAGATTTTAGATTTCACCACTGGGCCAAAGCCAGTATTGTATCTTGAGTGTTTTGGCTGTCCCCTCTTCAGATATTCCAATCCCCCTCCCCAAAAATAACAGTATCACAAAAAGAATCCTTCTCAGATCTCAGAACTATGTGAAAATCCTTGTACTGACTAAATTTATAAGGGCAATGTGTCACTGCATATCTAAGGCAGAGATGAAATCTACTTACAATCCCAACTTGTTTGGAATGCACGCGCTTGGACCCTCTGCGCATCTGCAAACCCTTCTGCGTATGCACAGAGGGTAAAAAACAGGTTTTTTACACATCACCTGACTGGGCGGGTAGGCGGAGCCTTGCACCTCTATTGCTACCGGTTCTCTGAACCACCGGCCGCCATTGCTACCGGTTCGGCCAAACCGCTCCGAACCGGGAGCATTTCACCCCTGATCTAAAGCCCTTTTGGTTGCTGATAACATTTAATAAAAAGCAAGTAGGCTTTGGCTGTTGCAAAGTTGGCCACATCTGATTTAGTTGGGCATTTCTTCTGCTACTTCTTTTAAAACCTGCAAAAATACATAAGATGAAGATGGAGAATTCTTTTGTCTTGTGATGTGATTGATGGAAGTGCTGGAAGACTTTTTTTTTTTTTAAAGAAACTAGTTTAAAGGGAAAAAAAATCCCAGGAAGGAATGATGTTATAACGTGAGCTTAATGCACTGCATGCTTGGTTCCAGACAGAATCATTCCCCCAATTCTTCTGACATTTTCGATTACCAAATCTTAAAAAATGCACATTGGAACCAACAGTAATCCTCTTCATTGGAGAGACTTTTTCAGCCAGTGAATTATAAGTGTTTGACTGAGTATATTTATTTGATGGGTTAAAAAAATTTGACAGAATGAAAAATTAAAAGTCCATATATTCAATTATTGTCACATATCACGGCCAGGTTGCTATACTTGGAAAAATGGCAAGATATTTGTTTGTCTGTCTGTCTATCATCTATCATTATCATCTATCTACAGTATCTAGATTTATTCTCTGAAAATTGGATCCATTTATTGCGCATTCTTTTATGGCTGTAAAAGCATATGTGCCGTAGAATACATCTGTATCTCTTTCTACATAATCAGGGTGGAAAATAATTGAAGGCTTATGAGAATCATGCAAAAATTGTGCCCATTTGCTGCCTATCAGATGCTTTTCAGTAAAATTACACTGCATTTCAAAACTGCAATATATATTATTCAGACACCAAAAATCAGAATGTGAACAAGCTTTATCATCCATTACGGAATAATTACTTATTATACCAATGTTCTGCCCATCTCATCAGCTTTGCTGGAGACAGGCAATGGTTCATCATAACTTGGCACTTCATTAAAAGCATTTTTACAGGGTCAGATAATTACTGTCTGAGCCTCATATCACGGGGATGCTAAATATTGATAAACACCTTGAATAACTGGGTAGCAATTAAAAATAGATAGAAAACTACAGATTATATGACATCAAAAAATCAAAATATAGAGTTGATTCACATATACTTTGACATTAGTTTCAGCAGTAAGATTGTAAACAGCTTCAGTTGATGCACTGGCTAGGGTCGCAAATTATTCTAGGCTGTAATATGATTTGTTTCACATTGGCTTTGTGTGATGTATTAACTCAGTCTCTGTACACTATAAATCATGGTTATATCATGTAAATATTTTGATAAAAAAAATATGACTAAAATAAGCCACAATTTAGCATGAGAATGTTGGAAGCTGAATTTATCCAAACCTAACTATCATGTTGGAAATGCTCAAGGTCTACCTGGGGTGGGTGATCTCTTTTTAGCCCAGAAGACAGTGTTTAATTATGCATGCCTCTTATTCCAAAGATTTGGGAGTGGACACATTCCTTAATTTAGTAGAAAAAAAATTGAAGTCCCTGTATATAATCCAAAATCCCATCTCTTATTTCTTCTGAATTAAATCAGATTGTGCCTCTTGTAACTTTCTAAACCAGTAACTAAAATTTATCATATAAGATAAAGTGCCAGATTACCCTTGTGAACAAAATAAATAAAATTAATAGACGTGTACATATAGCATGAGCAAACGAAACGGTACCAGGCACAAAGACCTCAATGGAATGCAATATTGGGCAGAGAGTTAATGTTATCGTGAAAGACCGAAGGCCAGTCTCCTGTAATTTTAGTAGTAATCTTTATTGTATTGTATTTATTAAAGTGACAATAACAGACATAGAACATAGAACTGTCAGTTCTCAGACATGACTGTCGTTATATCTGTACCAGATAGAACTGGAATGGGACTTTTCGCCTCCTACCCTTGACCGCGCCTGTCTCCCTTCTCTCTCTCTCTCTCTCTCTCTCTCTCTCTCTCTCTCTCTCTCTCTTTCTGTGTGTGTGTGTGTGTGTGTGTGTGTGTGTCTCTCTCTCTCTCTCTCCCTCTCCCCTCCTCCTTTCCTCTCTCTTTCTAAGGCTAGGATACCCAAAACAAAAAATCCTTTGGATGAAGCCAGCTTCTGGCTGCCAGCATTGGCAACTAGCTGATTGGCTGGTGGCTAACTGTCCCAGGAGGCGAAAAGCCCGGGACTAACAGTGTGGCATCAAATAGGCTATGTCAAAGCATGTGGGACGGAGAGGCCGTGGCCGACTGGCCATGGTAAATGGGTGGGAGTGTGTCAGATGAGGAGAAAAGCTAGAGGAGAATCCCCCTAGGTGGAAGCCTGGCAGAGAAGTAGGCATGGCAAAGGGTAGGAAGCAAAAAGTCTTAAACCCGACAGCTTCCTGTTTGACACGTTAGGATGAGCTTTGGAATCCAGAGTGTTACCAATAGAGAAAGCATTTTCTGAGTCTAATAGTGATACACCAGAGTCACTTGGTTAAGGAGGGCGGCTATAGAAATTGAATGAATGAATGAATGAATGTATTGCCATATTAAAATAGCCAATATAACATGAACAATAACTCACAAATCTTATAAGTTTACCCTTTCCCTTTTTTTGGGCTTTCCATATATCATTGCAACTAGCCCAAGTAGGGTGATTTTTGAACTGATTTTGAAGGATGACACCAGACAATAACTTTTCAGAATTGTGCTCTCTTTCTCTCTCCTGATATACTGTATATATATATTTTGGCTAGTTCTAATTCTACTTCATGAAAGAGATTTTGTTTTCAAAATTTGCTTCAGAGGAGAATTCAGGGAACTTTAACATGGGTGGACTTTCATATATTTGATTTACTGTCCAAGGCAGTGCAGGAATAATCTTTTAGCAGACCATCATCTGGCTAGCATTATGCAGCTTCCCTGACTTCACTTCCTGTAAGTCGAACACATTGTGATGAACTCCTTCCATTGGACTTTTTCAGATCTGAAAGCAGTCAGCAGGAAGGTTTCGGAATGATAGAATAATGGGTGATAGAAAGCAGAAATGCCAGCAACAACAGGCCGTGATTCTCACAACAAATAAAAATTCAAAAAGTTTTGAGAAGTCAGAAGAAATGTGAAAGGAATTAGAGATCCTAAAAATATGTTAGAAAACCGGAAGCTTGATTTACAGAGGAATAAAAATATTGAGAAATTACAAGGTACACTTTGGCATAATATTTCTTGTGAATGCATGCTCCTAGTTGGGTGTACTTTCTATTTCTCCATAAAGGAGTGCATACCTTCAGCTTAACATTGCTTTAAATAATATACTTTAATGGGATGCATAGAGGTTATCTCTTTAAATATTATTACTTGTTGTGACTCTTGAATTTTAAAATAGCACCCCAACTATATTGTCTGGTGATGACTCCCTTTTTTCATTTATACTAGATTTATGTATTGTAGCAAATTTATAACAGAGGCAGCTCCATTTGTGGCCACTGGGCTTCTTGCCACCTAAAACTGTTGCTAGGTTCTTTTAATTAAAGAAGAAAAAACATTGGGAAATGGATAAGTTATTCATAGCAGCCCTTTTGTGCAGTGCCTTTGAGATGCTCTTAAAATTTCAAATATGTCCACTGGACAAGAGAAGTCCTAGGTCAGATTCAGGCAATGTTTGAAGAATTGGGGATTCAAACCCAGCCTTCTGATGTTTTGAAGGGTCACAGGAAGCCCTGTAGTGATATCACTCAATGAGGTGGGATAAAAAAAATGCTTGGTTGCTTTTGGGGGAAGTTTTAAGGCCCCTCAGAGGAATAGCTGCCCTCTTTTCTACTCTTGTAATTATCTAGCAATAAAAGCAATGGGATGAAATTATGTTGACAAAATCTAGGCACGTTGCGGAGGTCTTTGGTAGCGTGGTCTCAAGATGTTAGATGACCCAATATTCAGGGACTGTATTCTGAAACATAGATAGATCACTGTGTTCTTTTTAACATAGTTTGGAAAACATTACGATGTTCTGAAAAGTTAAGTTGGATTTTTAAAAAATGCTGATGAATCCATATGGTTAATATCTGTTCATTTTCTTCTTTTCGTTTACATTATAGCAGCAGTTACTAAAAGGAGTTCCATAATCTTTTCCCAGGCACTTGGATAAAGTTTTATGTTTACTATAACAACAACAACAACAACAATTAAAAAAAAATGAAGTTGGTACACACATTGGACCATGGAAAATACACGAGGGTCAGAATCAGCTGACCTAAGGTATGATATATTCAACTGAAAAACAAACAAGGGGGAAGGGAAGCAGGGTCTGGTGTATAAAGGAAGACTGCTTGAGGCCAAGACTCTGGATAGTAAAGTCAATAAGATATCCAAACCACCCAATAGGACTATATTCTATCTCCTGAACAAATAAATATTGAAAAAAATGTTTATCTGTTTTGTTTTAGCAGTGCAAAGAGTTTCCAGCATGTATACATTAAGAGAGGATGTATAGTTGTTTCACAGCACTTAGAGTAAGACAAATATGAATAAAGATGGGGGCAGATTTTGGAGGAGGGAAGATTTGGGACTGATACTTGAGCAAAAACATGCTTTAGTAACAGGGGGTCTTGCCTGGGCTATAACGTACCATGTCCCACATGCTGATTACTTGAACAGACTTGCTGCCAAAATAAATTTTCTTTGGACTCAAGAGTTTATGGGATCCGCTTGTCTTGCCAACACAGCAGTTTCTTCCCCACACAAACAGTTCTGTTTTTGTTAGCCAGGGTATAAACAGAGAGGATGCTTAGTTAATTATTTGCTTAAAGACAAAGATAGGTGGAATCTGGGCTGAACTTGTATAGTACTCATATGAGTTTGTATCACACTTGTAAACCATATAACATTATGCTATCTATACATTCATATACATTGACTTATGGAGAAATATGTCTTGCATATCCACATATATAAATCTACAAAGAAATCAGTGTTTCTTAGGCTTTAATTTGTCTTGAGCTGACCAGCTAGCCAGAATACGATACTCCAGGCAAAGTGAAAGTGAGGTCCAAGAAAAAGATGTTTTGCAGATGCACACCAGCTCTGTAAAGACAGAATGACAGGTAGATCTTCAGAACATGTTTAATGTTGATGGTGCTGTGCTGCCTGCAGGCAGGGTGATCCACCACCTGCATAATTGTATTCTTGGTTTGCATTCTTTCACTTTTATCTTAAATCATTTATAATTGGAGTATGAGGAATATTGCTCACAGCAGCAGCAACAATGTTGTGTGGGAAAATCTTGTGTTAGCAAACCAAGCAAACAATCCTTTCATGCAAAAATCCTTGTTATCTGTCAAACTTTCTTCGTTCAGCAGCATAATTAGGGGAATAAAGAAGATAGTTTCTGCTGCTCTTGTTGACAAATGGAAATCAGAAATCTTTCTTAATCTATTAAAAATCTTGCAGAGTTTTACTAGTTATATTTCAATGTACTTTCTGGCCACTTCTGTATAGATATTGTATTATATCTTCTTTTAAAAGTGAATTTATATATTGTAGATGGATGACAAATCAGGTCCTGTGAGATATCGGCTTCACCCAATATTCAACAGTTTCTTGTTATGTTCAGTTAAACGGTATGTTGCTGTATTTATTTCCAAATCTAACTTCATTCTAATTCTTAAAACCAGACTGAAACAAATTATATATGAGGAAATCACTTTAAATTACTTTAGCATAACATGTAAAGCAGATGCAACTGCTGCGTATATCACTGTGATATTACAGGTTGTTAATATTCCTTGCTGTGTCAGCAAAACTAGTAATATTAAAATGTTAGTATTAAACATTTGAATTAACCTTGTGGTTTGTAAACGGCTCTTCCATATTCCCACAGATAATAAAGGGGGTGACTTTCAGCTCTTACAAGGCAACTATCTTCTTCATGTTTCATATACAATGAAAATGACTTTTATGAGAAAAGAGAAACCCCATCTACCTGATAAATATAATAATAAAAAATACTGTTTGCTGTCTAGTCACATAGTTAATTGTTTATAGCAGGGCAAATCTTGAACCCAAGGCAACTACTTTCGTATCTATCAATATTATAGCCAGTTTGTTAAGAAGGTATTAGTTGTTATATTTCTCTTTAACAATCTTTGCATTTTGAACTTACACAAATTTGGTTTTCTCTTTGCTCAGTGTAGGACATAACATAGCTGGTTATTGCTCTTTTGGAATAAAAAGTCTTCACAGCCAAACAAGGGAAGATATATATCAGATGGCTCACCAGTAACATTCCGGCAGCTGATATATGGGATATTTAAGGCAGATTAAGTTGTTAATGTATATTAGTATATTCTTAATTTCCTTTTAATTGAAAAAGACATATTGACTTTAATTAGAACCATTTCACAGGAACTGTCAATTAGCACATGTCAAACAAGTTAATTCAGAACAGAATTCTTTTAATTAGGGTCTGCTTTCCTTTAACTATGGGGCCAATGAAATCAGCCTTTCCATATCAGGATTTTAAAAGTCTCTAAGATACAAATGCAATCTCTTAACTATTATTAGAAGCCATATGGACAGCATTGAAATGATGATGCAGGCATTGTTGTCAAGCACAAATTGGAGCTTTCTCAATGACAATGGGGAAAAGAAAGAAAGCTTCAAACAAAGCTTTGTTTAGGGTGGCCTTCTCTGGGTTGCAAGAATCCAGATGATCACCAGATGGCAGCAGAGAAATACAGAAATACAGAAAACTCTTTGTTGCCGTCTAATGGATACCCTGATTTTTGCTGCCCAGATCTTGTAGCCCTTCTGTTTTAAAGACAATAGTGAAATATATGATTATGCAGCAAGATTTTTCACAACAGTAATCATCACCTGTTATACTTTGAACATGTGAGGTGATGATTCTAGAGCTGAAGCACAAGATAGCTGAAGGACAAGACAGCTGAAGGAGATCAGGAAAAGATATATGACAAATAGGTTCATATTTATACTTGACATGAGTGCTGAAATAACCAAGTTCAGTCAAACTTGTTTTACATTCAAACAGCCTCAAAGGAGATTGTCCAGACACAGACTGAACTCCGATCAAGAAAGGAAACAGTCCTGACATCTTTTTTAAAGGCAAAAATGATAGTATCAGTAGAGTGTGAAATTGTAACAACTCATGCTATTATGCACTGCAGTCTGAAAATTCTGATAAAGTGATGTTGCATTTCCTGTCCCTTTGAGACTAGAAGTATCATTACAATGATGGTCTTGCAGTCAGGCTTTTCAAAACAGAAAGGCAGAGGGAGTTAGTAAAAGAGGAAATTGTTTTCACACACACTTCTATCCAGTTTCCAGGTTTCATCATCATCTGTATGCTTTTTACTGATTATCATCTGTATCCTGTTTACTGATGCAAACACAAGTATGTTCTGTGCAAAGTTAAACACTTGTCTCATTGATTTTTGCGGAAAACCATTAACAACTTTCTTTCTTCCATGGAAATAATGGGCCTTAAACATTTTAAAGTTTGTCTGGAATTCACCGAGCAGAATATCCAATTCCATCCACATTCAGTGCAAAGGGTATTCCTAATTCTGTGCTACTATTATAATAATTCAGACTTTCTCTTTGCAAAATGTGTTTTCAGAATCATTCAATCTTACTCCTTTTCCTATTTATTTAACTAACTGTCTCCTTTGGCTGCTATTCCGGGTTGGGCTTTTATCTTAATATTTTATTATCCCAATGAACTATTGCCCATTTCAACCTTCTGAATCTCTTTTTAAAAGTGCATTTAAAGCTTCCACTAAACAAGAAGTTTGATTGGTTCTTGAACTCTCAAATATAAATGGTTACAATATAAATTCTACTGATGGTGTGATGGAAGTTTTTTAATTTGTAACATTTATATTCCACTTTTCTTCTACAATAAGAGTCAAGTGGATGGTGTACTATTAAATAATTAATTGTAGCTCTTTATCATGAAAATGGTAAATTGTAATGCCCTGGTATATGCCAGTTATTTTCTATCCAAGTATTAAATCAATCTAAACTTGCTTAGTTTTTCAAGATTAGCCAGAGAGAGCTAGGTACTGATACTAGTCAAGAATCACTACTAGTAAATAGTACACTAAGTTATAATTCTCTTGTAACATAAACTCAATTTGTATACAAAAATTAGGTTTTTTTAAAAAAAGTTCATATTTCAGCTTAAATACATGTTTACATCTTTCCCCTATTTAAATGAAAGAAATGTAAATATGCAAAACTTTAATCAGGCTATTCCAAGAATATCCAAATATGTAGAAAAATGAATGAGTTTAGTTTTTAATCTCAAATTTGGCTACTATTTTAAGTGACTTTTATCAAACAAGAATTAGAGAGGAATACTTATTAGTTGATTCCAAAGGGGATTAGCACACTGTTCAACCTGATATGAAACCAATGACTGAATAAAGAATGCCTAGGCAGTTTAAGGAGAGCTCAGGATATCCAAGATTTATTTAGAAATAGTTAAATGCTGCACATGACTGTGACTTATCCTTTATCAAGAATGTAATAGAAATTCATAATGTTAATGTCTAAATGGATATTTGAATAGCTTACTCCACACTCTGTATTTGCTTCACTGACCAAGCATTTTGATATGACACTAGTTTTATATAGGCTGCTGTCTTTTACTAAATCAGATCCTTAGTTCAGCTAGCCAGGTATTGTTCCACAGCACTGGTTTCCAGGCTTTGAGAAGATGTTGACCCTGAGATTTGTATGTAATGCAGCAGTTCTCCCTCTGAACTATGGTTTCTGAATAACTGAGTCAGGTTAAAGCAACTTGTGAAAAGCCCAAATGATAAACTGAAATAAGATTTTAAGTATCACTAGAGATACTTATGCTTAATGGTACTACATTGTTTCGATGCTAGGGAAATATTAATTTAACTATGCTTAGATCAGGGGTGGGTTCTACTTACCTTTACTACCGGTTCGCAACGGGGCAGCGTGCGCACTCACTTCGCTCACTCTGCTTGCTCGCGCGTGAGCTCTTCTGCGCATGCACAGAAGCGTTCTGATGATGTCGGGGTTGGTGGGCGGAGTCTCCTGCTGGTTTTACTACCAGTTCTATAGAACCGGTGCAAACTGGGGGCAACCCACCACTGGCTTAGATGCTAATAAATATCCATTTGCTTGCAGTAAGAATTTTCCAAGTAAGTATACTTCAGACTGTAGATATTATTACATTAAGCATAATGTATATGTAATGTAAACATTAAACTGTCTAATGAGAGAACAAGCCCTTTGGGAGTTAAGGAAATTTATTCTGAATTTTGTGAAGTTTCCAGTGCAGTTTTAAAATATTACTTATTATTGCAAAATTAGAATAGAGTAATCATTCTGTTAACCTCCTTGTCAGTTGATATACTTGACATACTGTAACATTTTTGAGTATATTAATATGCTGAACCGCACAATTCAACATCTGTTATGCCTTAGTTAAACAATATTTTCATTCCTAAATATCTAAACTTGTGAAAACCGCATTAGTTTTTTAAAAAGTGATTAAAATATCCAAAACAGTAAATTAATATGATTTTAATAGATAACGTACATAGCAAGTAGGCATTGTGACCATTCATTTCATCCAATGGAAAGCTATCCACGAAGACAGTTTATGCATATTTCTTGGCCAATATATATAATCTCCAACAGGCCTTGGGGAATGTGTGTATCTTGATTGCACATTGTACATTCTCTGGTCATTATTCATAATGATAACACATCCCGAAAGCTATGCATCTCTCACCGATGTTTCATACATTCTCATATACCGGTAGTCTCCGAGGAGCAGTGGAAAATGTACTAGAAGTTGATTAGAGCATGATGAAATTAAGAGTGTCATCAACTGAATGCCCCACAGAGAAAACCAAAGCCATTTTCATATGTGGAACCAGTTTTTAAGTCTGGGTTGAAAATATGTCAGCATATAGACATATTAGCCTGAGATCTGAGAAAAATAGAAAAACGGCCATTTTTGATGGCTGGAGATAGAAACAGTGGGAGTTGAGTAATGAATAATTGGTTAAATATGACCAACTGGAGCCTTAGTTAGACTTAAGCAATTCGCTAATATAATAGTTAAGCATTGATATAGAACTTTCTCTAACTAAGTGCTCAGAAATTCATATACAGGTACCTTGCATGGGAGATCAATGAGATCATAAAAGGTATTTAAGCTTTGGCTATCACATCTTTTAATTACGTTAACTTTCACTTGTATTATAATTCCCCAAATTTTATAAGCTAATTCCAAATTTATACTTAGTAGCATACACAATTGATAGTAGTATCAATTGATATAATTGATATGCTTATATGGTCAATGTGGCAGTCTCAGTTTATCCAACAGAATAAGTGTGAAAATGACACACTGTGAAAAGCACTAGGTTGTATTTTTCTCATTGATTCTAAATATAAGTAAGGCACTGCCCATTAGATGTGTGCACTCTTATAACTATGCAATAAACATTGATTGTAGTAAAATCTGACATGCATTAATGGCTCCAAGTCATTATAGAACTTCAATTGCACTTCAATTGAAGCATAATTTTTACAATTATCCATGCAGTATCTTCCAGCGCTTTTTGGCTCCTTGATCTTCACTACCAATTCTAAGTTTTCTGCCAACTTTGGTTTGTGGAAAGTTTGACCCTTGAGGCATACCCATTTAAAAATTGTGCTGAAATGCTACAAGCGAAAATAGATTTTGCCCAAATTTATATCAGTACCTTGAAGAGGCTCTTAATAAAATTTGCATTTTTGCCAAGCGATTGGTGACATGAATCATGAACTGTTTATATATTGTTCATGAATCAGTTTGAAAGCCATTTAAAAATGACTAGACATTAGGGAAATCTAATAACTTTTTAACAGATTATTTAAATTACTGGCTCTATGATTTCCAATAATTTTTATCTAAACAACAGAGCTACAGAAAGCTTGGTGAAATTTTCTTTGAAAAGAATCTTCCTGATTAAATCTCTTTTTATTGCTGTATTTAGCTTTCCAGACCCCGTCCCCATATGAATTTTTCAGTTATATATTCATATTTGGCATCTGGAACTTAATAGTTTAGTAATTTAAGCAACCCAAATGAAAAAAATGGTACACATTTACAATCACTTTCTCATATATTCCTGATATAAATTTTATAATATAAATATGTGTTTTATATAATTATGAATTATTATGTTAATTACAAAATAATAATATACATTATTTTATATAGTTATGAATAAGATGAGGAAGACCATGCTGGCCTTCCTCATCCTACTCTTAGATAATTAAAGCTGGCACTGTCATAGCCAGCAGAACCACCTTGAAAGCTTCTTCAGTATGAAGCTAATGAATGTTTTTCAGGAGCACAAAGAGAATGAGAGCCAGTTATCACCATGATCACCCTCTCCTCTGTCCTTGAAAGAGGGAGCCATGTATACCAATACCATATTGGTAATGGAATGCAAGTTTCCAAAACCAGGAGGTGCTTGATAATTGAGAGGACAGTAGGTAATCTCTTCCAAGTCCCCCATCTTGCAGGTCTGCTAGTAAATTGCTATGAATATCTGAGGCTAATCCAGGTGCCATATGAATGGTTTAGCAGACAAAATCTATGCAAGTAGAATGTCAAGGCAATTCCACATGCCAAATTTCTCATGAAAGAGTGCACTTGTTTGAAAAATGCTCCTCTGCTATCAATTTGTGATGCTTGCCCAAAATATTGAAGAAGAAGGGAAATGTCTCATCATATTTGGGCGTCTACTGTCAGGGATTTGAGTTAAACATAAGCAATAGCCTGCAAAAAGCTTAGATGGAGTTCTCTATTGGACTGCAATATCTACTTATATATGATAGGCAATATAATATTCATGCTTTTCAAACATACATATGGATGCCAAGTGTATACGTATTTCTTTTTGTATAAATATTTTTGAAAATTGCACCCAGGTTTTGAAAAGTTGGTATTGAACTCTTGGATCACACAATTGTCTTTGTATAATTAGCGCTCAAAAATTTAGCACTGACTGTAAAGCAATGAAACAATCTTTCATGTATAGCTGGGTGATCTCATTTATACATGAAGTATGTATTTCAAGTTTACAGTTTGGCACATTATGATAAGGTCATAAAAATATGCAATAATTATAGCAACTGATGGGGAAATACTGTGCAAGTATTTGTCTACTTGCCTATTTTCTTTTAAATTGATTGCATACATTTTATTGAAATTTTATTGAAATGTCAATTTTACATAGAAAATATATATAACATATAACAAAGAAACATGTAACAAAAATATGTTTGCTGTTCCTGTAGCATGAGTGTCCTGTGGAAACCACCTCTGAAAAACCTGATATATAATTTTTGATTAACAGTTTCTAAACCATTGATGGAAATGTTTATCTTTAGCTGCTTTTAATAAAGAAAATGAGAGTGATTGGAATGGTATTTCTTTATGTGATGCAAAAGATAATTGAGGGGCTTTTTGGGAGACCTTTTTTTTTTTTGCTTTTGCTTTGAATCCTAAGTTCTATTTGAGTACATTCACTATATCCATTATTATTGTAGTTTTCTGAGAGCCTACTAATATGTCCTTTGTAAATACAAAGGACATTGGAAAGGAAAGAGGAAGTATAATTTTGGTTGACACTGAAATTTTCATGGTTTTTATGCACATTGGGTACCATTGCACTTTTACTCTCCTGTACTGATAAGAGTGTCATATACTATTAAGATTATACTAAATAAGTGAAAAAGAAGTAAAGAAAACAAATCTGATTTCTATTATTACAGTTATTGAATATGTTGTGTGTGTGTGTGTGTGTGTGTTTATAGCTAGCTAACTAGCTAGCTAGATAGATAGAAATGTTACACAATATCATATAGAGTTCAACTTTAGTTTAACAGAATAACAGAGTTGGAAGGGATCTTGGAAGTCTTCCATCCAATCTCCTACTCAGAGGGAAGCCCTATACCATTTTAGACAAATGGCTGTTCAATCTCTTCTTAAACTTCCAGTGTTGGAACATTCACAACTTCTGGAGGCAAGTTGTTCCAGTGATTAATTGTTCTAACTGTCAGGAAATTTCACCTTAGTTCTAGGTTTGTTCTCCTTGATTAGTTTCCATTCACTGCTTCTTGTCCTACCTTCAAGTGCTTTGCAGAATAGGTGGACTCCCTCTTCTTCGTGGCAACCACTTTGATATTGGAACACTGATATCCTGTCACCCCAATTCTTATTTTCATTAAACTATGAAACCTGAAAAGGGGCAGAACACTCTTTGAATGCTATTTTCTGCACTCTTGACAGCTGGAGGGAGTGTTGATTGGCTCACAATTTCTTAGCTGCTACTAAGGAATTGAGGAGTAGGAATGTTGGCAATGTGGAAATGCCCTTTCTTAGAATTTTAAATCTTATTTTAATAATGACATTTATATCTTCAGTTTGCCTATAATTCAATAAGTATTCTTGTTAAAGCTGATGTTGCTTCATTTTTCATAGAAGCAAATTGCATGTTATACTTAATCACATCCACACCATAGAAGAAAGCATAAGAACGAGGGGAAGACTCTGAGTTGTTACCAATATATCAGTAGTGGTATTCACTTACCTTTGCTGCCAGTTCGCAAATATAAGCACGCACCCCACTTCTGCGCATGTGCAGAGCATCTGTGATGATATCCGGACGGATGAGTGGAACCTCCCGCCTTCACCGCTACCGGTTCGCCACCACTGCAATATATGCCATCTACAACATGGTTCTAGGAGGAGGCAATAGTAAACATCTTCTGAAAATGTTGCCAGAAAACTACATGGATTCATCCAATACAATGCAGCCTTTTTACTCAGTATAAAAATAAACCCCCTTTTATAGTGAGTTTGTTGGTTTGCTTTTGCTTGTTCTTAGTGGGACTCAGTTTAGTGTAGTGATTAAGGCACCAGGCTAAAAACTGGAAGATTGTGAGCTCTAGATCAGCTTGGGCATGAAACTAATTTGGTAATTTGGTAATAATTTGGTAATTCAGTTGCTATTTCTCAGTCTTAAGGAGAAAGTGATAGCAAGTCTTTATTGAAAATCTTGACAAGAAAACTGCAGGAAACGTGTCCAGGAAGTCACCTGTAGTCAATACTGATAAGGGCACAAAATAAATAAATAAACAAATCAAATCAAAATGCTGTGCAGGATAATCATTCTTCCTTGTTGCATTGATGGCTTTTGTGGATCAGGATGAGAGATGCATGCCATGCTCTGCAGAAAAGATAGTGTATTTGGATAGCCATCAAAGTATATTTCGAAGAGGATTAGATACAGAGTTCAGGGCAGAGCTGGACAAGAAGTTTCCTGCAGGACTCAAAGATTTCTGAGAAAAGGCCTTGATATTTTACACTTCTTATGTAGCAGGATCTGACTATGAGCTTCCTTAAGATAGTACAAACCTTTGGGAACAAAAAGTGTTTTTGAAATCTATTCAATTCTGATAGTTTTGTGGGAAGCATTTATTTCAGTCCTGTTAAAAATCTTAAACTACTGCATGAACCTATGTTCAAAAAAGGTTTACTATTTTTTTATAGAAGTGTTTCATATGTGATGAGGTTTGATATATAGAATGCCACTGCCAATCGTTTTGAAAAGTCATGGATTTCAAACCTGCCTATACTATTTTGTAGAGAATATCAACAAAGTCTGATGCAGCATCTGCAGAGAAAGATATTTACTGGGAAACTTTTCTAAGTTCTAAAATGTCACTCATTGATCTCAGACAAATCATTGAAAATATGGCCTTTGCAAACGTTGTGGAGTTGGAAAGCTGGCAGCCTGCCTGGTTCCTACTTAAAAGCTTGTCATTCATGGGAAATAAATTTATCTAACTTGACAAAAGTCAAGGTTTTCATGTTTTACTGCAATCAGACTGATATCACAGATAATTTAAAATCCTGCCACATATAATATCTACAAATAATTAGTCATACATGTAAGACATTTTTAAAGTCTGTATAAATACCTTTAAAATATTTAATAGCTAAGATTTTGTCCTTCCCCCTTTAATATTTTATATTAAAATATATTTTATTGAGTAACAGAGAACTTTGATTTGCATGTATTAGTGGTTTCATTCAGAAATGACCTTTTTTACGAAATTACAAAAAGCCAGCATATAATCAGAACTGCAAACCTTGCTTTTAACATTCCCTTCTATTTTAATTTTGTAGATACCCTGTAGTCTGCTCGCCTGTCAAGGAGATGTGGAAATGTGCTGGCATTCCAGTTGAAGACATCATTATGAGTGAGAAAATGCTCAAGGCCTTTTTTCAAAGTGGGCGCTGAAAGAGATGCTTTCCTTCTTTAACTCCAGGGGATGCTAAGAGCTGCACCAGCAGACAGGTATCGTAAGGTCAATAATTGTGTGTGTGTGATTGTGTGTGTGCGTGCATGTGCCCAAGCATTTATAAAAACACTCAGGATTTTACTAGAATATGGGTAAAGATTAAAAAAAAAATTAATGAAGATGCAGAGACAGCACAAATGAAGGAATTGACAAGGAAGGATAATAAACTTGCCATGAAAGAGTTCTGGGCAGCACAATACTGGCGGAAGTGATTTTAATATCTGACAGGTTAAGTTCCCTAATCTTTGCTATTGATATTGATAGGAAGTTTCATCTGCTTTTAGAGATTGTATCGGTGAAGACATGCTGCACTGCACGCATAACATGGGAACAAGTTTGCTGGAGATCACTGCTCTTCTTCCTCTGTGATAAAAATTGATATGAACTGTTTTAAACTGCTGGCAGATAATTACTCTGAACACTCAATAAGGAAAGCTATATCTTTAGAGTCTTCCTTTATCTTTTTTAAAAAATCCACTTTTTCATCCTCTTTTGTTTCTTTGATTACTTTGAGCCTTGTAATCAAACTAAGCTTAGTTCCTGGACCCTGGGGGCAGTATCTCTTAGTTCCCTGTCAAGGAGCGTTGCAAAACAATCAATCTTGCTCTCGCGCTCTCTTGGTGGAAGTGCCACAACACGAAGAGTGCAATGCTTTGCTCTTGTGATGAAGCCTCAATGACAAAAGTTTTTATAAGCAGCTGACTGTATTTAGGGTTATGAATATGCAATGACACTCATTAGTATTGAAGCATAGGAGCAGGGGCTGACATCCTCCTCCCCCCCCGCTTAGAACTGCTGTAGAATTGTCTAATGAATTGTCTTGCTCGTTCACTTGCACAGCCCTTTTCTGTTGTTTCTCCCAGTTCCAAGGGGAGTTGCCCAGTTTAAGAATACTATTGACTGCAGAAATTAATTGCCAAGAACTGCTAAACAATCTCGAAATAGTGTTTAAACTGTCAAAACAGAAAACATGTAGCTCTACAGGAGATAAACGCAACACAACGGAGGAGACCTCTGGACAAGAACTTTGCTCACAATCAGCAAAGGAATTTGGAGACATCATCTTTTTTCCTCCATCCATGCTTTCCCAAGCATAAAATTGACAACAGGAGCTGAATTCAGGCTGCAGGTATCTGATTTCTAGTTTGATTTTTTTCATAGAAAAAAGATGATGAATCTGCATACAATAACTATTCATATCGTAGAATTTTTTGGTGACCCTTTCAAGACTCTGTCCAACCCTTTTAATGTAGATCATCCCAACTTTTTGTCGGGCCTCCATACATAGTCTAACATGCATGATGAAAATATTTCCAGCAAACTAGTTAAGATATCCTCTTTGATATAAAGCTGTGATGGCGAACCTATGGCACACGTGCTGGAAGTGGCATGCAGAGCCATCTTTCCGGGCATGTGAGCCATTGTCATTGCTCTTCCGGGTTCTGGTGCGCCGGTCAGGTTGTCTTCATGTGCGTGGGAGCACCAGAAACTGGAAGACCAGCCTCCCAGTGTGCATGTGGGTATCGGGCGGCTGCTCTTCTGGTTTCCAGCATGCACATGCACACTGGCCACCTGGTCTTTTGGCTTCTGGCCTGCATGCGCACGCAAAGACCAGCTGGCCAGTGCGCATGAGCACGCCGGAAACTGGAAGATCATCTTCCCTCGGTGCCGAAAAGGTTCGCCAACACTGATATAAAGCATATAAGAAGCTTCAAAATGCTCTCACAAATATGGCTCTGTGAGGTAAATTAAATTCTTCACTCTATCCTTTTTTTAAAAAAATCAACCTCATAAACTGACAGACTGCAATTATAAAATGATAAGTTCTAAGAAGGAACAAATAGGAGATCAAAAGTTTGAGAAGCTTCTTTATACATTTAATTTGTAATTAAAGGAGTCATATTTGTAGAAGGAATTGTTAATTTTGATTTATTTGTGGGATAGCAGACAGCAACTTATTTGCTTAGTTCTCAAACCACTTAATCATTGTATGTGCGTGTGTATGTGTGTGTGTGTGTGTGTGTGTGTGTGTGCTTTATACATGCATTTTAAGAATAAACACAGCTGTGACAAATATGTCATACATCAAATACTTGTTTCCTCTGTCTCTTGGCTTCAGTGATTGTACATGACTATGAACAAGTAAGTAATAAAATCTGGAGAAAGATGAAACCAATCAGGGCCTTTTTAAACTCCATCAATCATTCTGTGCAACCATGATATTATTAGCTCAAGTAAGCCTTGTTCTTACCATTTAATGGACATCAAAACCTCCCTCACCCCCAGTTTCATCCTGAGACCAAAATTACCATGGGAAATAATTTTTATGGGCATTATCTTAGTAAGGAACCAATCAGATTTAATCACATAACATGCTACTGAATAATTCAATATTCTTCCTAAATTTGCATTCTTTTTTTTGTGTGTATTAGCCCATACTTCTAAAACTATATGGATTAAAATATACACCGCATCCAGTGATAGTAAGGAGACAATAGCACGTGATTTTTCATAACCTATGTATCTTCTAATTATCATTGCTTTCCGCTGATGTCTAGCACATGTGAATATCCATGTAAAAATATTTGGTTCCTGGACTTTTTCTTTAATTATACTACTATGAAATCTTAACTACTCCCAGCTGTAAAAACAGCAAGCATAAGAAAACCAAAAGTGAAACAATTATTTTGAAACAAAATCGACTATGGTATGCAAATAACAACCAGCATGCCTGGTAGATATTGTAATGAACCCTAGAATTATATTATATGACAATATTTCAGTTTTAATTGCAAACTGAGTAAAGATGATTTGGGATCTGTAATTAGCACATACATTCCAGACCTCATGACTGCTATGAAAACCCATAGTATTTATGGAATGATTATCTGGATATAAGTTGGTGTTTCTTGTTTTCAAAGAATACTTGTAAAATCCGATTTAAAAAGAGAAAAATTATTAGTTCATATATTTCTAGTATTAAAGCACCAGTTTCTTTATCTGCTCTAGTATGGACTTTAATCATGTTGTTTTAAATAATGTGAAAAAGAAATAATATTTGTTACAGATAGCGATGTGTTAAAAAATATCTATGTGCAAAGCTGTAACTGTCCAAGGAATGGGTGCCTGTGATTCATAAAAGATACATTTAAAAGACACTCTTTTTCTGAGAATTTGGTCGAATTGGTACGGCTTCAAAATATGAAGTTCTAATTTTACTGCAATGTGAAACAGCTGTTTGTAAAAAGCAGGGATAGTAGCAACATACAGATGTAATTTGGAGCAAGCAGACTTTTCTGTCTCCTTTGGTATTTACTTACTATAAGTCTATCATATTTTTAAATAAAATTGGTCGTAATCTAGGGTTGGAAACCATTGTTTTTTCCTCATAAAACTTTTAATTATTTTGCACTGCAAAAAGGTGCAAAGGAAAGAAAAGGCAAGAAACTTTGAATATTCCTTGAAATGTATTAAAATTACTGTATTTAGTTCTGAACTTTTGAATATGACTACTTTGCTCAGAACTATGAGTTGGATGCAAATTAAGATTTTAGTCCTATAGCTCATAACATAAAAGTGAGTTCCATTTGCATGATTATGTCTTACTTTGAGCCAGCCAATATGAAATTGTGCTATCCATTGCTCAATCTATTCCAGAGGACACATTAATCCCCTACAGCAGATGTTTAGGGCGATTTAGAATACTTTGAAACTGAAGCAACCTACAAGCATAAGAAAATAAATTAGTAAATGGCATATATTTAAGGGAAAGAAGAAACTAATCCTTTCACTTCTGCTGATGAAAAAGTTTTATCAGCAAAATTCGACTCTTGATTTGGACTATGTTATGAAACATGCTAACAATCCTTACATAGTAAAATGACAAAATTTATGCTATCACATTGGTATTGGTTTGCATCCAGTAATGTCTATTTATATGTAGGAAAGATATAAAAGTGGAAAACACCTTCCTCCTTATGACCATGGAAATCCATAACTATAGTATTTGTACCACAGAGTCGGTGTTGGACTATGCTCTTAGTACAGAGATCTATTTTGTAGCATACTAATAGACAGTTGCATTCTCTATAGAGTTGAACAGCAGACTTATTGGATATATGAAAATATACCATTGCCCAGCATATTAGAAAGAAAGAAGCTCTGACAAGCAACTTTTCTATATGAGGACTTTTTTTTTTTTTAAAAATGTAAAGAATACTTTTACCGCTACATTTAGCCTAGACATGTATTTTAAACTTAAACAGGATATTTTGAGAAAAATTAACCTCTTGATTTTGTTGCCTTTTAACTGGATATTGGACCATGTTACACATTTCACACAGACAAACTTATGATTTAACATGCATAGAGTATATGTAACTTTATCTAATACATAGTTAAAATACAAAATGCAGTACATAACCATGTTCATTTTATGAGTACACATAATATTTGTTACATGGACATGTAGAAAAGGGTAACAATCTAGTAAATTACACTTTTTAATGGTGTCTGAGCACTGATTATTGTTCATTTTCAGAGGCAAAACCATATTTTGTGTCTAGAGTGGCACTATGTATCATCTGAATGTGGACTGAATACAAAAGTGAGCAACCAGTACATTGAGCTGGTTTAATCATGGAGAAAGAAAGATTTAATATCAAACTGCATAATACATTTATGCAGAAAGGGTGAATGTTTTGTACATGTTTTGTGTCAAACTCCCATCCTGCAGGCTGGATGAGTCATGTGCTGGCCATGCCCATGCCTGGTTTAACGAAGGGGAAAAAAGTTCCAATACGTCACACGATGCTGCCATGACAACACGAGTTTGGCGCCCATGGTCTAAAGTAAAGAGCTTTGGTTACATAGCACTGTTGAGCCCTTGAAAAACAGAGGGATGAGAAGTTACAAACAAGTGATGTATGGATGAGTGATGTAAGGATATATGGATCAGGTGGAAACAAATATGGTTTGGGTGTAAACCTTTGTGCCTTTTGCAAATTAATTATTAATATCTTACTGGTGAAGTGATACATTATTGCATCTTAGTCAAATTAATATGGAGGAAACTTATGAATTGGATATCAGTGATGGAAAAATTTTATGTGAATGAATAAAAACATGTAGTTTTCCAAAATGGCCAAGACATGTGTACAAAATCCCATGTGTAATAAGGAATATAGGAGAGCTGCACTATTATTTTCCAGCATCTTCCATTATGAGATATCATGCAGGGGTGAAATTCAGCAGGTTCTGACAGATTCTGGAGAACTGGTAGTGGAAATTTTGAGTAGTTCGGAGAACTGGCAAATACCACCTCTGGTTGGTTCCAGAGGGGGGTGGGAATGGAGATTTTGCAATATCCTTCCCCCTGGAGTGGGGAGGGAATGGGGATTTTGCAGTATCCTTCCCCTGGAGTGGGGTGGGAATGGAGATTTTGCAGTATCTTTCCCCTGGAATGGGGTGGGAATGGGGATTTTGCAGTATCCTTCCCCTACCATGTCCACCAAGCCACGCCCACAGAACCGGTAGTAAAAAAAAAATTGAATTCCACCACTGATATCATGCCTCTGAAATTGGAATTAGGAGACCGTAGCTGGTAATCACAAGGAACTGTATACTCAATAAATTAAGCTAATGATGAATTAAAGTCAACTAACTAGTGCTATTAACCCATCTTGTGCAAGCTAAATTTCATAGGTTAACCATTCCAAAGCAAAATCTTTCCAGTCTGTTTTGAGGATCAGCATATAATAGTTTGCCTACCAGAACTGCTTTGAGAAGCAGGTGGCTACAGCTCTAGAAATGACAACCTTCTTTTAGTTTTTCTGATATTTGGTGACAGGGTACAAATCTTGCAAGGGCAATACCTTCCAGTCCTAGAGTTAATTTGGAATGTAGACATGGATTGTGATATCAATGTCATGGAGCACATGCTTTGAGAAAGTCATTATGACGAATAATAGAGAGATTCAGTGGGAAGCCACTGAAAGCTGTAATTTAGGGTTCCAGAAGACACAGTATTACGATTACCATTAAAATTTACAGTGACAGAATCCCAATTACACATGGTTATTTTCTTTTCTTAAATCAAACTATATTTCTGCTGTACATGAAAGATTCATTTCCTCCCTCCAATCACTGTCACGGGAACCTATTTTTGTAGCTTCTGGTGTCAGAAGAGATGGGTTAGCCTTATCTCTATGACAATGAAAGGATCAATGAGGGTAGCAAAGCTGGGAGCCTCTTTGGAGCCGGCAGAGAAAACTCATTTGCATGATAATCAGCACCATGCAAGCCTCCACACTTAGCAAAGTACAGCTCAAGTATAACAGCAGTCATGAAACAGAACTGAAGTAGGAGCTTCCCACTAATTTTGGGAAAGCTGGTAGATAAAGCAACAAAGTCAAGCTTCAGTAGCAACAGCTATTTCCCAGACAAGATAAAAGAGACTGAAGTTTCAGTCTGAAAGGTTGGTTACTCATGTCCCTTTTGTTTATTGAATTCATCTGGATGAGACGAACTAACCGATTACTTTATTGAAATAATTTTTCTCTCTACTACCTATCTTTTTGGGCGATGCATTTAAACCCTCTTCTTCTGTTCAATTCTCATTACAAATTGTACATGAAATTGTCATCTTTTTGTGAGTTAGTCCAATGCTTCAATCACATATAAATATTGTATTCATTACATTTTTATTATTTCGTCTAAGGAGCACTAGGAATCAATAGTTTTCCCTTCCTCCTACCTCATTATATTCTCGGAACAATCTTTTGGGGTAGATGAACAGTTCAAATGACCCTACCTAGCAACTTTACCATTGAGTAGGGACTTTATGTTGTTGTTTTTTCTGAACAATGGTTCAGAATGGTTTATTATTTATTTTAATTATCCATTTATATCATTAAAATTGTAAAAGGCAGACAGATAATTGTCCAGCAGCCTTGCATAGTTTCTTTGGACCCAGGCTTCCAAGAAAGAAAGTACAAAGAAGGAATCATTGTAAGATTTTTTGATAAATGGAGCTTAGGTAAAAGTTTTGGAAGAACAAAGCTTCTGTATACTTCTGTGTTTCTGTGCTGTTCAGTTAGGATATATATCCTGTTCTGAAAGTTTATCAGCAATTGCTGAAGAAAATAGATGAATGTAAAACATGTACCCCTCTTTTCTCAAAATGGAAACTGGAAGCTTAAATAACAACAGTAAGAATAAAATTAAATAATTTAAACCTGAAGCATATGAACAAAATCACAGTTAAGGTGAAATTAAACATATTTAATAAAAGACTGGCAATCCTCCCCAAACATTCCCCCAGACCAAGCAAGCAAATATGCAGAATGACTAGAGGACAATTAGGCCAGTGGCCCTTTCTAAATAATGATGTTTTAAAATCAGTCAATTCTCACATGCCTGCTCATTATTTATAACTGGGTTTCAAATGATGACATGTACCCATCATAGGTTTATCATCTCTGACAGAATAAGGACATCATCTAGTCCTGCCAATTGAAACACATGGCTTTTCTCAGTTATAGTTTTCATCTTCTGGTAGTTTTTAAATCTTGAGTAATCAAGTGATGAGTGATTAAGTCATGTGCATAAATATGTAAACTATTTATTCCAATGTAATTGAGTTATAATTGATTATGACATGCCTTGTAGAAGATGTACCATGTAATAGGTCTCCCTTGTATTTACCAGTTCTGAAAATGCTGAGCCTCAAATATACTTCAGTTTCCTTGAAGAAATGGCATAAAAAAGGCTACAATGAATACTGATGAGTCATAGAAATAGGCATGTTCCATCTCATCCTCAATGATTCTATCTGAAGAGATACTCTATGGTAAAACACTCATTAATCTAGGTTTCTATGTTCCAAAGAAAAGGCTACCATATAGCTGTTTACCTTACTATTACCATGCCTTGTGTATGATGATCTTTAGCTAAAGTAAGGTTTATCCTATTTGGTACATTTAGTCTGATAATGGAGAATCTGGGTTTTGATTATTTTGAAAGAGGGAAAATTCAACAATGAACAATTACTGAATCAACTTTCTGAGTTTTAATTTTTTAAAATCATGATTAAAGAGTGAAAACTTTCTATGGAGCAGCATTGCAAGTAATAATACTAACAACAAACAGCAACAAATAAACAGCACCTAAATTGTAACTAAGACTAAATTTAGGAATTTGAATAAAGTGAGTAATTAGACCAGGACTTATTAAATATTTCTTCCAAACTTTGTCACGTTATATTCATTCAGAGTCAGTAAGATTAGCGCCCACCATTGTTGTTGTTATAGTAGTAATTTTGGATGCTTTTCAATGGTAACTCTCCAAACAATCATATTACAGTGATCTTTTTGGTTTCTTCAGAATCTATAATATTCCAGTTTGAAATGAGATGCGATTAAAGCAGTACATAAACTGCTCTTCATTCCTTCTAGATTATGTCATCTCTGAAAAAACTGTAATTCCTTTAAACTTGATATGTTTATTATATGCTCATTTTAGTGTTGCATATTATTAAACATGCAGTATTTTTTTAAAGAAGCTGGTGAATAGAATATATATATCGTTCCTATCACCCATCTCCTTCCACTAATGACTGTATGACTGTAACTTTGTTGCTTGTAGCCTTACAATTTATATTGATGTTTCCTAATATGATTTGATTGCTTATTTGTACCCTATGACTATCATTAAGTGTTGTACCTTATGATTCTTGACGAACGTATCTTTTCTTTTACCGTGTTTTCTCGAAAATAAGACATGTCTGGATAATAAGCCCAATTGGGCTTTTCAACGCATGCAATAATACAAGCCACCCCCACAAAATAAGCCCCCCCACAAACTACTTACAAGCATGCGCAGCCGGTCCCACCATTTCCTCTGGTTGCTTGCCGCACAACCAAAATGAGTTAAGGAGGTGAGGCTGGAAGGGGGGGGGGGAAGGAGGGACATGCCCTCCCCTCCCTGTTCTTCATGCCGGCTGAGCAGCTCAACACATCCCATCCCACCCCAATGGCAACAGCAGCCTGGCTGCTTCCCTTCCCTGCCGTCTCTTTATCAAGAGGAGTGACAGGTGGGGTGGGGGAGAAGCAAGATGCGTGGAGCGAGATGTGGCTCCCCTTGCCGTCTCTTCCTCCCCCCCTTGCCGGGCATGGCAGGGCTTCTGCCCCTTGCTTAGCCACCCACTCCCTTTAGGGGTGCAATTTGGGGGTGGCAGGTGGGGCGGGCGAGAAGCGGGATGCAGGTCTTACCTTTCAAGCTCCGTCACTTTTCTCGCCATTATGTCCAGGGAAACAAGAAAACCTTCTCATGAGTTCAATCAAACTTCTCGAACTCTATATTTCAAATCAGTTAAATCCTGAGCTTTTAATTGAGGTCCTTTAAAAAGATCAAGTACTGTCTTTCATTGTTTTTATGTGGGCATTGTTTCCATATAGTTCTTTGTTTTTAAAAGTTGTAATGGTTGTAACCCAGAGTTGTTGGGAGTCAGGGAGCATATAACTTTAATACATTATTTTGAGTGGAAAATAGAAACAAAAATAGTATCTAACATTTCCTACACTCCTATTGCATATGACCTCACTCTAGTTGACATGTGATCTTTCTTTCATCAACTGTACACACATTTTTAAAATGCCTTTAAAATGCCTTTAAAAGATTACTTGATTAATGAAGCTGATTAATTGATGAAAGCTGGAGCTTCATTGCCACAACCATACAGGCTATATGAACTAATATGAAAAAGATCTGGGAGAAGAAATGCAATTTCTTTTCTCTTATTCGGCAAACTGATAATAACATGAAGAAAGTCAAGCAATTTTACACGCTTTTCAGCACTTCATATAGTCGCCATACCATTTGGCATGCTATTCTCATGTTGCATAATTGCTGAGAACATTCTTTCTAGTGAAAGTTGTCCTTTTTTCTTTTTCATAGATTGGATGATGTGGTACAACTGATGCGTAGGCAAAACTTGAAATGAGCATGTTTGAAATCCTGAAGCTGTGGGGTCTATGGTCCGCAGCTCCTCCTCCCAAGCACCATAGAAGAACTGAATTGATAGGGCTTGTCCTCTGCTACTGATAACCAAGATTTGATCCATAAAAGTTGGCAGCTTTGTGAGCATTAGGAAAGGAGCAGTTTTACTTTAACTCTAGCCATTGAATCTGAAGAGTAATTGCCAGCCTGGAAAGGTAATTACATATGCTATTGTTTATACACATAATAGGTCTGGAATGCATGTTCTGCAAATAGAAAAAAGAAAAAGAAAATCCTGCTTTCAGATTGGGGCGGTACACAATGTATAGTGACAGAATGCCACAAATAGCATTCATACCCCTGCATGTTAATAGGTGATTTCTCTTGGTGTGTGTGTTTAAGGCGGGGGGGGGGGGGGGGAGGGATTTAGAGCATGAAAGGGGAGGGAAGGCAAAAAGGCTTTTTTTATAAAGTACCATGTAAATACAAGTGATTTCCCGCTCTCCCTCGCTGTTCCTAGTTCCCTTTCTCTTGCTGTCTCTTTCTTTTTAAAAGAATCAAGAGAAATGTTTTTGAAGCTTCAAAGGGATTGCACTCTTCTCTTACCCCATGGGAATATTAATTACTCCCAAACTTTTAAAATTTCTTGAACAATACCATATGTGTTTGTAAAAGAAATTACAGAGAAAGCTGTACTAAAGGGGTCTTGACTTGAATTGCCCTGAAATTGGACTAAACAGTTTGACAGAATATTGGATAGCAGTTTGAAGCATCCTGCTGTGCCTGGAGTGGGACACCACACACACACACACACACACACACACACACACACAGCACACACATGGGGGGAGGGAGGGAGAGAGAGAGAGAACACACACACACACACACACAGAATGTGTGTGTGTGTGTGAGAGAGAGAGAGACAGAGAGAGAGAGACAGAGAAAATTTTGATTACCAGAATGTCTCTTGCATCTATTATATTTTGGCTATTTAAAAGCATTTATTGGAAATAACATATAGACTGCCATGATACACACTTCCTGGATTATAAATATGCCTTTCTCAAGAACAAAATTATATTTACATTGCAAAGAATGTTTTAGAGTATTGTAGGAACAAGAATGGCACAAAGCCAAGAATTCTTTTGTATTTTAATATTGAACCAAGCATTGTTAGGGGCTGAAGCAAATCATCATGGGTTATGCTCTGTCGTGGGGTCCAGTAAATTGCATGACCAGCTTGTTAGGCTTGACAAGAGCCCTTTCCCTAACAAAGGCCTCGGCAACTCCTAGCAGCCACGGAATGTCAGAATGAACACATTTCACACACAGATGTGTGACCATAATGGCTGTTAGAAGAGATGCATGTGGTGGAGAAAAGGGGGGATTATGGGCTGGGGAGGTGAACAGTTAGCAGTAGGGACCCAGCCCTGTTGACCATTTTTAATCAGTTCTTCTGTAAACAATTCAACAATTTCATTGTTCTCCAAAAACTAATAAAGAGAAACAAGCACTTTTCATTCATCTTGAAGTAATTTTCTGTCAGGTTCAAGTCCCTTGTGGCCTACAGCTTGTGCACAGCTAGCTGTGTGATACCACTACTATTTCAATTTATTTTACAAACTCTGACCATTCAAATGTCAGCTAGTGTTCACCAAGCCGGCATCTGAAATTGTGCAGTTAACGAGTTTTACAACACTTCTATCAAGAGAAACTGTTTAGCATAACTGACTCTTAAGGAGTTATTATACCTCTAAAAATCCATTTTAAGGGGCATTATTTAAATAAAATAGAAAAACGGTTCACTGCCTTTTAAAGGGGCTACAAAAAAAGTCCATCAGATCCAGTGCAGTAATCCTCAGCTTAAAGCACTCTCAAGAGCCCTTCTGGGAATTATCAGCATAATGAAATGTTTTGTGAAATGTCCAGATAGATTCCTCTACTCCACAATTTTATGGCACCATATTTATTTTCCACCCATTTTTTTTAAAGTGAATTACTTTTCGACAGGATGACTTTACACTCGGCAGATTAACTGAACACATACTATTACCAAGGTTATAGAGTGGAAGGCAGAGTTCTGTTTGCAGCATTGTCTATATAAAACTCTAAGAAAAAGACGGGCCCTTTAAACCACCATAAGGCTTATGCTAATGTGGTGCTTCTTGTACATTATTTCCCATACCTTTTAACAATTCTGTTACACAGTTTGTAATCAATCTATCCTTTGGTTAAATGCCCCCCTGCCCCTGAAGATAAAATGAAATTGTACTTACTGAATAAAGAGATATTTCTAGTGATCTCAAAAGGAGTAGATGTTGTAAATTAATTATAGCTGCCAATGGCACCAAATTAGTTTAACTATAAAAGTCCATAATGGGTAGGGCACAAAATAACCTAAATATCTTGATAGGTGTAAAAACCACACTAGCAATATAAAAAGCTATAAGGAACTATTTTAAAAGTGTATTCCAGAAAGACAATATATCAATAAAAGCCTTTAGATTTTGGAATACAAGTTCTTGTTTTATTATCCTTTGACAAGATGACCTTTATTGGTCCTTTTCATAAATACAGAGTAGTTTTACACTGCAACTGTGCATTCCTTGGGGAGCATCCCAGAGTCCATAGATTTATTCAGATTTCCATCAATTTGTCATTTGGCAATTTTGAAATCAGAAAGAGGAAAAAGTATACTTGGCAGGGTTGCCATAAGAAATGTCAGGAGAGGTCAAAGATCTGTTAGAAGATTTCAAATTCAACTTGCTCACCAAGATGGCTTATATCAGCATTTAATCTATGCCAGCCCTGGAGCTGGTATAGATTTGTTCCATGTCATTGGTTTTAGCTGCTCCCTCTTTTTCTCAAAACAAAACAAAACAAACAAACAAACAAACAAATGCTGCAAAAACTGAGCAGGATCAGATATAGTTAAAATCAGTGCTGCACAATCACATGGATGGGAAGTTGCAAGACATCCCAGGATTGTAGGTTAAATTGAGAAATTGAAAAAATTGTCCTGGATGAAGGCAAAGTCAAATCATTTCTATAGTACTGCCAATAAAATCACACAAACACATTTGTGAAGGTATCAGGAGTTGCCTTAAGAAGACTTCAAGCCTTTGCTTCTAACAGCTCTGGCAAGATTTTATGCCCTCATCACCAGATGATTAGGCTATTGTAAAATGCTCTAAATGGATTACTTTTGAAGTCTATCTGGAAGCTGCAATTGGTAGTGGAACATATGCTGGGAAAATCAACTTCTAGGAGCACATTACACTGTGCTTAGACGCTGTGTTGATTACCAATAGACTTCTTCGTGCAAGTCAAAATGCCGGTATTAATTAAACTATGATTTAACATTAGATACCTCCAGGCAGCAATTTCCAGATATAACTGGCCATTTAATACATACATCATGAGAAAATAGCTTGGGAAGATTAGAAGGACTGAAGTCATTTTTCTGTAATGTGTCCAACAATGGGCAATGGCTTCCCTCTGAATATCAGGCTTATCTCCATATAAACATTAAAACTGAATTGTTCCAGAGGTCTTTGGTGGTTGATATTTAATAGTATTGATTAATTTTGTTGTAAACTGTTATGAATCTGCATGGAGATGGTGGTATATAAGTAAACTAAAATAAAGATAACAGATTTTTCTAGAGACTCTAACTTTAGAATTAGGGCTAGAAATGCTCTGTCCAAAGCAAGATATTAGTAACAACATTTATTCTGAGTATTTAATAAGTAATATCCTTTACCATGAATAGCTTATGGTATATATTAGAGTCTTATTTTTTTCCCTAGTGTTTTCCTGCAAACGCAGGGTTTCCACTTTTTTAAAAAATGAACCGAATGTTGATCCATTGGTTGAGACAGAAATTGACTGACTGGCTTGTTACGTGGCCAAGATCATGGTTAATATTAGTAGGCAATGATTTATTGCTATTGGCATTGGGCATTGGGCAGCCTGAAAGAAAGAAAGAAAGAAAGAAAGAAAGAAAGAAAGAAAGAAAGAAAGAAAGAAAGAAGCTTCTTTCACAAGTCAACTTTTGGTTAACATGAGATAGCTTAGAAATGATAAAAGCACTTACAGTTTATAAATCTTTGGACATATTATATAAATGAATTGAGCAATTGTTCTAGTCTCCAGACACTGACAAAGAAACATGATTTCAGCAGGGAATACACAAGTTCAGAGCTCCTTGACTGCTTGTTCACTTAATGCCAAACCATATTAATTTCCCCCCATTATCCATAGTTTATCATGACTTTGCTAGGTAGCCCTTCTTTTGTCCTTTCTTGATAAAATTAGCTGAAGCTTCATGTATCATAAGAGTTGACAAGACATCCTTTCCATGCTCTTATAGAATAACATGAGAAAGAAAAGGTTATGCCTTTTCCTGACCAAAAAATGGATGAGTTACCATCCCTGAGAGACCTGTTATAAGAAAAGTCATGGAATGAGCTCTCAATTCAGATGTTATACCAGAAACATGAAGTTTAAATTTTCAGGCTACTGTGTATTGTTTTCCATCTCCTTCCAATTATTTTATAATAACATATCCTGATAAAATAACCAGTGGCCATTGCTAACTAGGGATAATGAGCACTCCGTACGGAAAACACTAAGTTGAGGAATATTTTTTAGTTAGAACATAATATGTGTGTATGTGAAGTGGATTTTTATGTTTTAATTTCATTGTCATTTTGTTGTCATTGCACTTCAAATGTCCAAATAATATCCTCCTTACATGGCTCCACAAGGAAACATTCTCTAATAGTGGTGCTGTGCTTTCCCCCCACAAAGGTAAAAATGTGATCCTCCATTATCTTATGAAGCTTTTTGGTGTAAACTGAAAAAAAACAACAACATCCAAACATTGATGGAAGCCAAATACATCATACACTAGCTTTTTGGGAAGAAAACAGCAACAATCATCGTTATGTGTTGTGATATAGAGTAGCTGGATAACAGGATTGTAAATTATAAAACTTTCCTGACATAACAGTCACTATGAATTCATTTATTTAATTGTTGGAAGAAGAGTTTTTCTACAACAGCGTCAATTTCACCATAAGTAAAGTCACCAGCAGTGAAATGCACTTACCTTCGTTACCGGTTCAGGAATGTGAGCGCATGCACGTGCTTCCTCTGCGCATGCACAGAGGATCATAAACAGGACATAATGACATCCCGGTGCATGGGAGGA